CCCCCTGATCACTGGAGTGACTACTTGTAGATCGATGGCAAAAAATTAAGACAGCATGGAATTTAAAAACTTTGGGTAGCTGGGTATTTCCGCGCAGGTCCGCCCAGTATAACATGACCTGAAAGCCGGGAAGGTTTGACTATATGCAATCGATAGTACTACTAAAGGTATGGAAAGACCACTGTCGGCCCATGGAAAAATTATTCCGAATACGGTTTTAGCTAGACGTTTCCAATTATAAATAAAAGAAAATATAAAAACTCGAGAAATTTCAGGAATTCGAGATCTTGAACATCTTGTAATTTCTTGACTTCTTGTACCGAGATCTTGGAAAACCTTGAATCATCGTTTTGTTTTACGCCCTTGTGTAACCATTTCACACTTAGCATAACTTCGAATTTTTTTCCGTCTTTACCATAGTTGTTTAAGGAAGAATCTGTGATTCTATATGGTCGTGTATCCGACGGCTACTATAAAAATTAAAGTACTCGCATAGGATAGAGATACAGATCGCTAGACTCGGTTTCTGATCCTGCTTTCGAATATCTTATTTTTATTACATAGAAGTTGAGTTCTGATTGATATGATCGAGAATTACGAGCAGAATTACGAAACATCGACTCGACGGCAAGACTCCGACTTGACTTGGTGCTAAGACCGTTACTGAGTGACGTACATGTCATTATACATAATAAACAAATATACTGATGCTTTTTGACTTTTTTACGTTTTTAATGAAAGATAGTATATTCAAAATTATAGAAAAGAATTTAAGTAAAATCATTTTACATACAAACAGCGAGCTTTCGATACTATCACAGTATCATTATCAGGCGAATGACTTTTGCGAGAAAAGAGAGACAAATATATACAGAGATTTTTCTACAAGGAATTTTCTGGTTGTGATTTCTCTATTTTTCTACTTTTTCTTTTCTTTTCTCGTCTAGTTGAATATGAGCGTCTTTGGTGATATATCATTGTATGTCAGGTTATTATGTTGATATGTTATCAGTGTCTCTTTTAGTAATCTTTTGATTTCATTTCTTTCAGAAGCCAAAACTCATGGTTTGTCAAGTTCTAACGTGTGATTGTTATCACTAAAGACGGTCATATTCAACTGGACGAGAAAAGAAAAAGTAGAAAAATAGAGAAATCACAACCAGAAAATTCCTTGTAGAAAAATCTCTGTATATATTTGTCTCTCTTTTCTCGCAAAAGCCATTCGCCTGATGATGATACTGTGATAGTGTCAAAAGCTTGCTGTTTGTATGTAAAATGATTTTACTTAAATTCTTTTCTATAATTTTGAATATATAATAAACAAAGAAAAAACAGAAAAAGACATGTATTTCCTAAGATGGGTTCGAACCCAGTACCTAGCAACAAAATCGTCAATTAATCGCTAAAATCACCAAAAATTCGGCCATTAATCGCGATTAAGCGCATGATTAATTGCCGATTTTTATGCAATTTTTAGTATGCGGGGGGTCACACACGCTAGACCGTGCACATATTGAATAAACATGCATAGAGAGGAAAAAACGTGCAATGTATTAAAATGAAAGCGTTACTTTCGCTTGTAGTTTCTCTTACTATTATTATCATCTAAAATTTCGACTAAAAGCTTGTCTACTAAAAACCAGAATGATATTCTGGAATGGCAGAATGGCATTTTAGAATTAAAGTATCTCGGAATCGGTACACTCGCCGTGTTCTACTCTTCCCCCTTGATTGTAACACTGACTAGTATATCGGCATTAGTATGAAGTATAACCAGTCGGTCGATATTACTGGTATTTTGCGGTATGATACGATTTTTCGAAAAACATTGGGAATTCAATTCATCTGTGATGAATTTCTTACACAAAAATTTCGTCCAATTGCTTAAACTTTGTCGGCTTATATAACCTTCTTAATTTAAAAAGTTGAATTGGATTGCTGTTGTCGTTAAAAAGAAGTGTGAAAAATTAGTTATACATAATCAAAGTGGAAAGATTAATCAAACGTCATCACGTATATGAAGCATGCTCATAACTCCATTTAAAAAAGAAACGGACGTTGATAACGTGTCATCTACAGATATTCATATTTAGTTCAACTGCCTCACATTCTGTATAACTGTAAATAAGTTCACAGTCAAGAAAAACAAGGTAAACGTATTTGTATTTAGGCACAACAGGATTCAGACAAGTCCGTACCGATCGGTAAATTGGTCATTGGTATACCAGCCGGTACCGGTATGAAGTTTGTATACCGATGCATAGTGGGCATTTTTCGCTAGAGCAGGCGTGCATGTGTTCTAAAAGCAATCTGTGCCTCTAAAGTTCGTATAGGTTTTTGGTTGTGCTGTTTCTAAAAATGTAGTTTTCAAAGTTATGCAGTGGTTAACATAAATCTCCGTCTAGTCACAAAAACGACATAAAACCGCATGCGCTATAGGTGCAAGACACGGAGATTAACGTTGATGAGAATTTGAACGTTATCGGAGTTTAGGAAAATTTAGGAAGTCGGTTGCACTGGTAACGTAGCGAGGAAAAGGAATTTTCTGAGGAAAACTACGGATTTTTTACACACACTTTTAAACAAAAAGGAAATATTTTTTCAGCCTCAGATAGCTGACATTTTTCTGCTGCAGAAAATATCAAACGAAGTGTTTCGATCGCTTTATTCGAAATACGCAATCAACATTTTCAAAAACGATTTTGAGCCAAACCTCCGCCTATATAGCCACTGTGCTGTGACCAGTATCGCATTTTTCATACCGGTTACACCCCTGTGCACAGCTGCACCGTTTTCTCATAGCAATGTTTATCAGAGATAAATTTATTTCTGTTAAGCTTTTGTTGTTCGTTTAAGCGTCCACTTTACAGTTCTTTTTTACTTTCTTTCAAGTAAAAAAAAGAAACTGCGATACTGTAATACACCAGTAAAACGAAGCATGCTTTTGCTAGATACTCTGTCCACCAGATTTTCTATTCTTATTGTATAGAAAAACAGCCATCGCAACAGTTCATTAAAAGCCCAGTATGTTTTTGTCCTTTTTTATTTACTGATTCGAAAATACTGAAGGAAGATCCCTGCCTATTCAAAAACGGTATCATTTTTTTCTCGAGCAGCTGACATGCGTCGAGAGGTGAAATCTCCAAGCGGGAGAATTCTTGTAATTTTAAAGCGGCATTAAAAATGGCCTTCATTTTAAAAGGTACTCCACTAACTCCTGTTAGATACGATAACTGTTTTCTCTCAAAAGCGTAACACAAAGAAATTCGTTATACTGCGTAAGTGGATACGTTAGCTGTAAATGATTCGATGAGCCATGAGATGACTGTCCACATGCCAATATAGTACGATCATGTTATGTCAGTTGTTCAACAATGTGTCCCTGTGAAGTCTGTTTCTATTGTCAAACAGAGATATTTCCGTTTTTCACATCGTATACGATGTTATACGACAACTGGTTGGGTATACTCAACCAGTTGTTCGAAGGGTACTTCAAGTGCTCGAAAATATGCTTTGAATGGGCTCTAACCGAGGGCCTATATTTGAGTACTCGCCTCGATTTCGGTCAGCGACAAAAGGTACCGTGGCCCTAATGAAGACTTGCGAGCTTGTATGTAATATACGACAGAGTGTGTGGAAGCACCTCAGCTTCTAAGAATGCGGCACACAGCGACAGGATTGTATTCGAGAGAAAATGTGGTAATAAAATAATCAAATATAGAGTATTGATGATCTTAAGTTAACCGTGGCATTGTATAGATAAAACAGTATGTTACAACAGTACGCAACTGGAGAAGAGTTTATTGTTTTTAATGACTGACTAATACGAGTAATTCATTGTATAGCATCATATTCTCACTACTGATCCATTTTGTCGGGTTGTACATATGTTATTTTTTTAGTAAGAACAAAGACGTGTACTGGAAATAGATAAGAAAATGACAATCGTCCGGAAGAAAGCGTAAGAACGATAATAGTGTTTTTAGAAGTATAATTGATACTTTGTGTTTTCGTCCAGAGATTTGATTACCTCGAGTAGTGTCGAGTATCAAGTAGTCGAGTCCGAATATCTCGAGTAGGACTCGGGCTCGATGCATGCCTATATACGACCAGTACAAAAGAAAGATAACAAACTACTCGTCAAGAACTATCGTCCTATTTCATTACTCATATTCTAACTCAAAAGCTGTCTAAAGCACTACTGAAATAAATGTTGTAAATTTTCATTACTACCATCCGTTGTGTCACATATTTGTTTGAAATTACATGTTTTGACAAATGATGAATAATGCTTAAGAAACTCGTGTACATTACATAATGGTTTTCCTTGACATCCATCTGGTATAACAAGATGTTGATTATGTATTACTTGCATCGAGTACCTATTGTCTGATCCTCGACAGTTTTTATATAAAATAAATGCTATGTTTGTATTCATTGGTGATATTAAACTTATTTTCCATTGGTTTTTTTGGCGAAAATGTTTCGCTTCCAATGAATAAGGATCTTTATATAAACCAAGTTTTGTAACAAATGTTGTTACAGTATTAGCATGACCAAAATAAAAATTATTTTGAGGTTTTTTCAACATTGTTGATAAATCAGAATGAAATTGTTTCATTAAACTACACGTTTGTTCGTAATTAATCGGATATTTATAACCATATCGACAGTTATGTTTTAAATCACCTAGAGAATAAAAACAATTGAATAATAAACTAAGTATATACGACAGAGCGTGTGGAAGCATCTCAGATTCTAAGAATGCGGCACACAGCGAAAGGATTGTATTCGAGACAAAATGAGGTAATAAAATAATCAAATATAGAGTATTGATGATCTTAAGTTAACCGTGACATTGTATAGATAAAACAGTATGTTACAACAGTGCGCAACTGGAGAAGAGTTTATTGTTTTTAATGACTGACTAATACGAGTAATTCATTGTACAGCATCATATTCTCACTACTGATCTGTTTTGTCGGGTTGTAAATATGTTATTTTTTAGTAAGGATAAAGACGTATACTGAAAATAGCTGAGAAAATAACAGTCATCTGGAAGACAGAGTAAGAATGATAATAGCGTTTTCGGAAAGATCAATTGATACTTTGTGTTTTCATCTAGAGATTTGATTGCTAGGAGTACAATTCTACTACAATATCATACTTGCTTCTTTAAGGGAGAACGCGCAGGAGCAAGAAATATGTGCCAGTTTTCTTTCACTCTGCAAAACAACCTTCTATATAAATAGATTAAAAGTATGTTCAACAAAGTATGTACGCTTCATTAGCAGCCGTCTAGTCTGCCCACTTTCATTTGTTACCTTCATATTCTTTAAATTCATTTAATTTTCCTGTTAATAATTTACACCAGGGTGATGTTTGTTCATCGATACTTGTTTCATAGGCACATGCTTTGGTGATTTGTTCCAACATTTTTGCATCCAATTGATCTTTTGTTAAACCAAATCGATTTCTCACATGTTGTAACTCTTGTTCAAATTCTATATTATCTTTCAAAAACTTTTTAGCATTTGAACATGCTTTATCATTATCTTCAACATCTATTTTGTATTTTGGACAATTTTCAGTATACTGCAACAGGCTATTATTTAATGGTATTGCAATAATGCTGATATCAGACATTTGTGGTCGATCTAGAAAACCTTGAATAAATTGCTTTGCCGTCTCTTTTGTACGTTGTAAATTTGTTGAAACTATTTTATACGGTAAATGTGTAATCGAGCGTAAACCAGTATAGAAATATTGACCAATCTGTCTCGCTTGACGTTTACCTAAAAAACAACTAGAAATTCTAGATCCAGATCACCAGCAAATTCAGAAATTTAACCGCGACAGCTTTAGCCAGGTGTTCGGGTGTTGCAAGACAAATTGCTGTAGCGGTTAAAACGTTTTCAGTTTTAACTAAGTGTAGTTGTGAGCGTACCAATATCAGCTAAAATATGATCATGTTTATTTGGATCAAATTTCATTTGCCATTGTTTAAATTGTTGTTTATCATCACCAGTCAATTTTGGACTATTAACCAAATTCAACTTTAATGCGTCTAATGCCTCTCGAATTTTTTCCATTTCTTTCTTTTTTGGATAACGATAGGCATGACGACTCAAATACCATATTGCAACGGGTTCACATTTTTGTTTGGATAAGTCTAATTTGGCGTTACCCTTGATATTATCATAATTAGTTTTTGTTGAAAATAACATAGGTGGTTCATTGTTGACTGACGAAAAGAAGCTTAAAAGTATTAGACAAAGGCAAATCATTTATTTCGTAAATGCGTGTATCGAATGCATATAACAATGATCGTTTTACTTAACGTAGAGTAGATAGGAAACTAAGAGACCATAATTAAATTTACATATATAGGTCGTTGAAAAACCAGAGGTTTACTCTTTTCATGACATACGCTAACACTAGATCGACTTTTTTACCAAAATCCGTTTGCCGATATTAGTTTACCTTTATTTTGTTTCAATTTTTCCACTTTGTCATTTGACAGCGTTATACTACGATAGAGTCGAACAATCTCTTCTTTATCTTGGATCGTTTGATATATTTAGGTAAGATTTTACGAAAAATCCGAAATAAACATCGAAATGTATGTAATTGTTCGATATCCTCTGTTCTCAATGCTTTATTAATTAACTGGTAGACGAATGCTTGGTTTTATATATCATCGTACCGCCTCGTCAGATTTGTATGTACGAGCAAATTCACAAATTCATTTCAGTTGTTTCTTGTTTCCACGATAATATTGTTGAAAGTGTTGTAGCAGTTGTAGTTGGCATCGTCATGGTTGTATCCTTGCACAGTTGAAATCAGAGAAACCCGACTGATTCTTTAGACAAGTCTCATATAATCATTGTGCTACGTGAATAACAAATAATTGCAATTAAAGTATCCGATACGGCTGAATTACCAAATCATCCAGTGTGTATAGCAGCGGATTACCATCATATTTCGTGTATGTTTAGACATGATTTCGCCTAAAATCTTTGAAAGCTGACGACCAAACTAGCTTTTCATTTTTATGTAACTCTTCTCCTGAATTCTTCTGAAAGTGAAACAGAAGTGAAAGTTTGTATAGGGAGAAATTGCTGGAAATCTGAAAATTTTACTCATTCCATACAAGCGTACAAAGGACGGGGGCTTATAAGGATCGAAATTTTCCCTTGATGTTTCTGAACAAGAGTTACATATTCAGAATCAGTGTGAAATTCTGCGTCGAATGGGGTATATGGCACCTTGGAAAAACCATTTTCAATTTTTCGGAAAATTTGAAACCCCTATGGTACATTGGAAAACGTTTTTACTCAGAATTTTTCTAAAGATACTTTATTCTATGCTGATCGTGAATATCACGTCGAAACTGAAAAATAGTTAAGTTTTGATCGAAAAAAATCGATTTTACTGACAGATGGCGTCAGCGACCTGGTTCATTAAAAGCAGGGTTTTCTCCCTTGGATTTGGTATGGAAACCTCCAAAACCCCCTAGATATACTCACAGATGTCCGAGCTTTCCGGTACGGGACAGAAATCCACTTCAAACTAGTGTTTTCAGGTCAGAAAAGCCACTTCAGGTCGAAAATTCGTGAAAAACCTGTTATTCGGCCTCGTCATTTGACTTTTCCGCCAACTGGATAAGAGGTAATATTACCGGAATAACATAGATGTATGCAGTTTTCAATGCTCTATCAAATGATGGCGAAATGTGTTTTTCAATGTTTAGCCATTTTGGGAAAATCTGGTTTTTCCAACTAAGGTTTTCTAGAAAACCTTACAAAATCCGGTTTTGACCTGAAAGCACTAGTTTGAAGTGGATTTCTGTCCCGTACCGGAAAGCTGGGACATCTTTGAGTATATCTAGGGGTTTTTGGAGGTTTCCATACCAAATCCAAGGGAGAAAACCCTGCTTTTAATGAACCAGGTCGCTGACGCCATCTGTCAGTAAAATCGATTTTTTTCGATCAAAACTTAACTATTTTTCAGTTTCGACGTGATATTCACGATCAGCGTAGAATAAAGTATCTTCAGAAAAATTCTGAGTAAAAACGTTTTCCAATGTACCATAGGGGTTTCAAATTTTCCGAAAAATTGAAAATGGTTTTTCCAAGGTGCCATATACCCCATTCGACGGAGAATTTCACACTGATCCTGAATATGTAACTCTTGTTCAGAAACATCAAGGGAAAATTTCGATCCTTATAAGCCTCCGTCCCTGGAGCTAGTAACGATATATTACTTGATGGCTTTCAATTATATGTTTGAATGGAGGAGTTACACTTTAGACCCAATGTCTGCGCTGACAAGCTTTTTCTTTCAGCTACTGTCTTTTTAATGCGAGTAGTGCGGTACGCAGTGGGCACTTTTCCATAGAGCATGCGGACATCTGTTTTTTTTTAGCGAAGAAATGATAATGTTTGCATAATATGGTCTTATTAAGCGTCAAATATTAATAAAAGTAAAAAACTTAAATTCGAAAAAAAGTCCTTCTCTTTTCCTGAGTTTTTGTCAAAAGAATTTGTATTTGTAAAATCAACAAATTATACATCATTCGATGTAGTTTTTCATGCTCATTCCAAATATCACATTAATTTTCAATAAAAGTATTTCTCAGCTAAGAAAAAGGTAAAATATCTGGAAAACAGACGGTTTTGTAGAAAACCTCGTGCTCGGAAAAATCGCCTCGTTTGGGAAAAAACTCTTTTTCGGTAAAAGACTTGATCTGAGACGAATAGTTCTTTTTACCAATAGATAGCTAATAGCGTCCTGATTCCAAATAACACGTTTATTTAAATATAATTCAGTTCAATAAAAAGTTGATTTTACATAGAGGTCACGGATATACGAGGTAATTTTCTTCAACATTTTTTATCCGCAAATTCCTCGTTCGAAACAAAAAATTTTATACCATTAGATAGCCCATCTATCAAAGTATGTTTACCACTATTTTAATTTTAAAAAACCGCACTTTCGATTTCTCGCTAAATGTCCGCCTGGTGCGGTATTCTCTAAAACTACATTTATTCAAAGTAATCATGGAAAATTCTACCAGAAATATCCCGCATATGTAAAATGTTCTTCAAACGTGGTGAAACTTTCGGCGTTTATTCATCTATCCTTCGTGACTTCTGATATATATTCCTTCTTTCGAAAAGGTTTATACCCTTGGGCGGTAGAGCTGGTACGTTAAGGTCATCACCGCCGATTACGGTCAACTTGAAAATCATTGTTCTCCACTAACAAGCGATATATATTCGTACATTTCAACTCATGTTTTTTACAACTACTTATCCAGAAAAATTTTCAGAGCCTGTATTCTGTTTTTTGGAGGATTAGCAAGATATTGCCTTTTACCGAGAAAGGCGGTTATGATTAATACGTATGCGGGAGATTTCTGGTAGAATTTCCCATGATTACTTTGAATAAGTCTAGTTTTATATAACACTGGTTTTTTGGGTATGAGTATTTAAAATAATAATATCGTCGATAATTCGCTCGCGTACAAACTCTGTCTGCTTTGCTTTGTCAAAGGGAAGACAGTTATTGATAGACTTTTAACTGACCTTATAGAGAATTTCCGTTTGCCGCAAACTCAAATTTTCAATAGTTGAGTCGTTCAAACTGAACCGCCCCGACAGGATTCTAGGATTCTTAGGATTCTTGGGATTCTAGGGTTCTAGGATTCTCAGGATAACTACATGCAAAAGAGCGAGATCTGCTTTTTGCGGAAACACACTGACACTCACCCCCCCCCTCACACTCGCCCCATATCCTCACCTCACACCCCTCTTCCCACACCCTCCTCCTCACCTCACACCCCTCTTCCCACACCCTCCTCCTCACCTCACACTCACCTCACACCCTCCTCCTCACCTCACACTCACCCCACACCCCTCAGAATCCTAAGAATCCTATGAATCCTAGAATCCTAAGAATCCTACAATCCTAAGAATCCTAGAGTCCTAGAATCCTGCATCAGCATATCATAACCTCACAAAGTTTTAAATTTTCGACTTGCGGCAAGACAAATTTTAATAGAAAATTTGAGTTTGCAGCAAAGGGAAGTTCTCCATGTTATGTTTTAACTTGGAAGTACAAGGTGAAAGTTTAAATTTCGACTTTTTGAAAGTTCAACTACGAGAGCCTAACGGAGCAATGTGGAAATTTTCATTAAGGAGAGTAAGATAAATACTGTTTTTATAAACATAGTTGATAGAAAACTCTTATCTGAGAGGTTTCTAAAGGAAAAGAAAAGAAGAAAGAAAAAGAAAACTGTATAGAAAAGAAATTTGTATTTGTAATTTTTCGATGTGAAACGATATTTTCCTTGGCAAGAGAAGTAAAGAACATGCACAGCACTTCCTCATAATCTTGACCCTGATCATAGACATACGTACGCCAAAATCGTCGTTGAAGTTTACGATCAATTTTTTTCTCTTCAAAATTGTGACGCGATTCACTAATTAAATTTATCATTTTTGGAAAGGACTGTTCACTGTATTTGCGTACGTCTACAACAGACACAAACAAATCCCAGTTACTTTATTAAAGTACAAATACAAATTAAAACTTAAATTTGTATTTTTAGAACAGTTTTCTTTTTCTTGTGTAGATGGGCAAAAGAGCAGATCTTTTTTATTTCGTGATACGCTTTTGTAAAATTTTATTTTTAATCAAGACTTTGATATAAAGACACATGTGATAGATCAATGAATGACTGAAAACTGAAAATTCGAGTGTAGTGTGTGGAATTCCGCGATGTTTTGCTGTAGGTTTTCCAGAGACCCTCCAAAGACCAGCTCAAAAACCTTGAAATGACTTGCATCAGATTCGTCATCGTTTTTAACGTATATACCATGACTTTGACGCGATTTGAACGGAAATTCAAGGTTTTAGGAAAAAATCACTTAGCCGATTTTGAGCAAACCGCGCCGTTTTTCAATGTTTCTTTTTTTTCCTACGCTGAAGAACAAATTCAAAAATGTACACATATAACTTTATTCTAAATTTCATGGCGAATCTTATGGCGAAAGAATCAGATCGCAAGTTCACAACCCTAAGGGCTTGATGTTTTTGCGAGATCGATGGGTCGAACTTCGAGTTCCGCCGGTTGAACCTCTTGTTTTTTTTTTTAGTTTCTGTTGAGAAACTTTAAAACGCAGTTTTCTAGATTCACTTTTCGATGTAGAATCTGAAAATATCAGTTAAAAAAAGTTAAAATGCAATCTGAAATGGTGACAGCACATTTTCTGAAAAGATG